TGATTTTTATATCAATATTAAGTATGATATTCTTATTATATTAGTGTAATTCATTCTCCTATTTTATATTAAAAAAACTAGGATTCAAACCCTAAACAGTAGGAGGGTTGCGAATAAAAGTTATTTCCCGAACTCCATCAAAATTGTCCAACGGAGATTAACTCCATAGAACCTTTATTTCGTTTTATTTTAATTATCTATTATGTTACTTTAAACTTTTATAAAAAAATATTTTCGTAATTCTATTGGATATTCTGATTTACTGTGTAAGAAATGTAAACTATAAATTTTAAATTATTTCCGCTTATACTTGATATAATTCAATATTTTTATTTAATTAAGCTTTGGACCTTTACATAATATTTTTGTTTGATAAAAAGTGTTAGTGACGAAAAATCTAATATTATAAACATAAAAACTATAGATAAAGAAAAAATAATAATTATGCAAAAACCATATTTTATGTATAGTTATCTATTCAAATACTAAAACGCAAAACAAATATTGTTACAAGGAGTTTATCTGCAAGTGGTACAGTTTATAAAGGTTGCATTTAAACTAATATAGCTTCGTATTTTGGTTTTTGTGTTTTCTTAGATAAATTTATTAATTTGTGTGATGTAACGAATAAAAACTAAAATATATAGTTTCTAGAAATCAAATGAATACAAAATTCTCATACAAATGATAATACGAAACATTTACAATTTAAACAATTAAATAATTTCATATACCACTACTTGAACTCATAACAAATTATTTTATTAAGTAATTAATAAATTTAAATTGTATTAATTGACAAAAGACAACTTTTTTAATTAAACTAATTTATAAATTTATATCTCAAATGAAACTAAAACACCCTTAATTAAATACTTATTTACGTAAATAGACCCGAGAGATTAAAGCATATTAATTAATGAACACTAAAAAAATAAAATAAAATAAACAAATAACAGTTCATATACACCCTTTATTTCGTCCACCAAAACTGAACAAGTCTTACTTACTAATGCAGTATATATGATCCCAAAAATATATTATTACCAAAGAAAGAAATTCCAGGATGCCAAAGCCTAAATTTGGTTTTTCTCTTTTTTTGGAGAAAACAAAAAACCCTATATTTTTTCTTCTTCTGTGGCTGCTCTAAAAGAAGAGGAGAAGAATCATAAGGAATCTAACACATCAATGAATCCACTTACTAGTTTTTATTATTTATTGGGGAGGGTATATTGGGTCTTCAAAGAATGGAACGACCTGCAGAACATCGACATATTGCCAAGAGGATGAGTCAAATTCAATTCTCTAAGTGAAAAATTACCTAGAAATCAGGTTTAAGGTGGATCAATCAACTTTTGGAATGCTATGAGTGAATGTAAGTGAATAAACTAAAAATGGAAAAAACAATTTAAATTTACAGCCATAATATTGTCAAGACATAACTTTCATACATTTCGTTTTCAGTTCTGTCAAAAAAATATATATATATATATTCACATCAAGAGTAACGTGTTTGAGAAACAACTCATTACAGCCTAGTTTCAAAAAATTTTAACCCTAAATTTAAGCCACAAGTCAGACCTTTTCTACCGGTGGATTGGTTAGTGGGTTAAAAATCATTATATTTGAAGCTATATCTTTTGGTTGCTTTAGAAGGAACATAAAGGGGTGGAATCTTGCGTCCTAAACTCCACTATGGGAGTGGTTTCAGGAAACTCCACTTGGGGAGATTTTGCCACCAAGACCGAATAAACCCAGGTATGTTTTAGGCCACATTTGGTTGACGAAAAATGACTTCTCGAAAACTAATATTTCTTCTTTTTCTTGTGTTTGGTAGCAAGAAACAAACTTATAAAATCTTTTACGGTAAAACAAAAATAAAGAAAAACTTGGAAAAACAACTTCCGTTTAGGAAGTTTGACGTCGAAAACTTTGATACTCCATCTGAGTTAACGCACATCTCTAAAACTTTGATATGCTTCTAAAAACGTTCATAAGAGTTTCAGTAAAGACGTTTCTATTTTTTTTCCAAAAGGAGCACAGACTCGTTCTCCTCTCTTCTCTTTTTGCTTCGTCCCTTTTTAGCTTTCTCCTTCCGTAACTGGTTCCAACGAGTCAGTAAGTTTCGTTTCTCTAGATGCCAGTCGACCATTCTGGGAGATGTCTGGCTATAAGAGAAATCTCTTGATTTTGTTCTTGTGGGTTGTGAGGTAGATTACTGATACTCTTGGAGGAAGGCAAGGAGTCTTGTACTCTGTTCCCTTTTTGAGAAGGAGATCGACGAGTCGTCAGCTCTCTTTGTGAGTTCTGCTGGGAGAGAGGACTAGAGACTTAGGTGAAGAGTTTGATGAGCAAAGATAGGAATTTCTGGTTCCCATAGGTAGAAATAGAAGGACCAAGCGTCTAGTATTGACTGCGAAGCATGGTACCGTTCGAAGGAGGTTGTATTTTCCAGAAGGCTCTGAAGTCGATGGATGGCAGGGACTTATGAAGGTCCTTGGAGATCTTTTTTTGGTTAGACCTAATCATCTTCAAGCTTGAAATAAGAAACCAACGAAGCTGGGAATTCCATCGAAAGATGGTACTTGCAAGGAGGATCTTTCTGGAGGAAGAAAACTGAGAACATTGCCAAAGCCAACTATTGAGTCACAAAGTAGCCTCCTTCGAGATCATTTGCAGAGAAGGCTCGCAATTCCAGCTGTCGGATCTTCCCTTGATCTGGGTTCGAAGAAAGGACATTGCTTTTCGAAGTAGGATCAGGTCCAAGCCGCTCTAACTTTGGGCCTTATCAAACAAAATTTCTGCTGCTGAAAAGGGAAACAGGTTCTTGTTAAAAACCCACTAAACCCAATCTAATGCCCATTGAGGGTCGGGTAAAGCCCAAGATTGGAATGGACATTAGTGAGCCTTCTTCTTCTCCTCCTCCGTTCCTAACAAGACCAGGTCGCAGACTCGCAATTTTGAGAGACACATCATCTCTCCACTAGCCGCGCTGTTTGTATGGAGACCCAAGTTGTTAGGGATCGGTAGTGCTAGCTACTGCTCGGAAGAGTTGGTTGATTCGGAGAGTTCTGTTTTTCAAGGTGCATGTGTCAGTGACCAGTTTAGGTGAGAACCATCTGCTAGGGTGTTTCTGTCAGTGGCCTTGTATCTTACATGGGGGAGGACGTTGACCTTGCTAAGCGAATTTCTTCTAAGGAAGGCGGATGAGTAGAATCTTTTACAGAACCGGTGGATTATGTGAATCGATCGGAGGTGGCTAATGCTGATGGTTACCTGATTTCACTGCACTGAGGAAGGTTTTAGGAAGCGAGAAAAAGTTTTTAATTGGGTGTTGAAAAACACTTTCTTGTATTAGCAAACTGCTTGGTGAGTTTTGAGGGGCACTACGAGATGGTTATTAAAACAAATGATTGGAGGCTCGAGATTCTTTGGATCTTATCCGGGATTGGTGGATAGATGCAAATAGATGGATTTTACTGTTCCAGATTTTCCAATACACTTTTTTAATGTGAAAAGCATAATTAAGGAGTGGTGCAAGGAGGTTTTGGGGTTTTAGATCTGCGAGTGAGAATCTGGTTCATTTATTAGATTTGTTGGATAAGGTGGAGGCTGTGCGGGGGTTGTTTGCTGGGAAAGAGATAAAGGGGAGGGCCATAATTGAGCTTTGCTAATTTGATTGTCCTGGGGGAGATTGTTTGAAGACTAGCCCTTTGAATTAAGGAAAGGAATAGGAATACAAGGTATTGCCATGGTCTTGCTTTTCATCAGATGCATTTTGCTTTGTTTTCCAGCTATTTCAGGCCTCAAAATCAACCTAGACAAGTCTAACTTAGTCTCTATCTGCAGTGGGATGGATGGAAAGGTCTATGTTAGTACTATGCGATGCAAGGTTTCCTCCATTCCGATTAAAAATTTTGGGCTGCCTTTGGGGGTCAATTTAAAAGATAAGACCATTTCAGATCTAGTGATTTTATCTGAAAAAAAAAATTGGGATCTAGTGATCTCTAGATTTGGCAGGGAAGAGAGGTTTTCTTTCTAGAAAGAACAGGCAAACTCTTATTATGAGCAGTTTGGCCAATCTTCCTATCTGCCTTCTGTCTATTCTTCAAATTCTGGCAAAAAATGTAGCTAAGAATGGAAGTCATTCAATGTCAATATCTACGGGGTGACTTGGATGAGAAGAGAAGATTCACTTGGGGGGCTTGCCATGTGGTTAGCCTTTGAATCTAGAGATCTTAGAATGAGATTCCTAACAAGCTTTAACAGAGCACTGCTTGGCAATTGGCTGTGGAAATTCATGTACAATGAAAGGATTTTGGTGGAGGATAATTGGTCCTGAGAATGGGTTCGAGGAGAGAGAGCAGAGAGTAAAAGAGCAGGGGGTTCCTTTAGCACGAGTCTTTGGAGATGGATTAGTAAGGGTTGAGAGGAGGTTGGGGACTATCTGTTTCAATGTGGCTGATGGAGAATGAGTTCGATCATGGGAAAATATTTGTCATGCTTCTTCATCCCTTTGCTTCCAGCTCTTTTTTCATTGACTAGGAGAAAATATCCTCTTGTGAGTGACTTTCTTTATGGATTATGATCAGGTGGTGCGAGGGTGTAACTTTTGGGAATTTAAATGATTGAGAGGAGGACTACATTCAGCCTCTTCAAAAACTAGACTCCATGCACATTTATCAGTTCTAGTATTGATGTGTCGGTGTGGAATCTTTATTCTAAAGGGACCATTTTCAGTAAAACCATTTTATTCTCATACCATTCATTCTTTGACGAATGAGTCCTTGTCTCCGTGAGAGCAAATCCGGTGAAGAAATGCCTCACCAAGATTTGCATTTTTTGTTTAGGAAGCTGCCACAGGCTCATCCTCACCGTTGACATTCTTATAAAGGCAGACAAAATCATGGCCAATCAGTTTGTATTTACAGAAAACAGCTATTGAGACCCTAGGTCATCTGCTGTTAAGATGTCCTCTCTGTTATCTAAAATTTCTCAACATGCAGTATGATGGCCGGTTCTACTGTTGATGACTTGTGGGCTTGCATGGTATCTTGAGGGATAAGTGAATGAAGAACCTTATTTCTCTTGTCCCTTAAGCTATTTTGCAAATCATTTGGAAGGGAAAAAAAATATAAAAGCTTCTGAGGATACTTATTTTTCTTTTGATAAATTTTGAGAAGCTTGATTTGATACCATTTGTTTTTTGCTCAGGGGCTGTCCGCCAATTCACCAGGAGATCAAGGAGATTTAATTGCCATTTTGACTTCTAAATATGCACTTCTGTGCTTTTGTATCTGGGTCTCACTCTCTGGATGCACTTCAATGTCATTTTCCTTTCTCTTCTAACAAGAAATAGACCAACATCCTTCTTTTTAAAAAAAAAAACATTGTTATCACTAAAATTTCTTCTTCTTGTGCCTTGATAAAATTTTCTTTTTTTTTTTTTCATGCAACTTTTCTTCTGAAGCTCAAAACAGTCTTATGGTATTTACTATATGTTTTAGGTTTTTCTTTAATAAATATGTTTACAAATATGACTAAGTAAATTAAGCCTATTTTAACTGGGTTTTTGACTCTCTCTCTATCAGCAATTGAAAAGTAGATGGAATCAAGAGTCAAGACAGTTAAATCAGTATTTCCTTAGTTTCGTAAAGTGCAAAATGATGTGATGCTGTAAGAAAGAATACATGCTTATTTCAAATATTTAAAGGCGGCGGAAAGACTTAAACACATCAAACAACAGCTATGCTGTTGTTTTTTTTTTTTTTTTTTTTTTTTTGCAGGGAGAGAGAGAATGAAATAACGAACTTACTACTTAGTATGAACTGTACTTCCAACGCTGACACAATGAAAAGCAATATGGCTCAAATCATGCTTTAACTGTGGTTGATGCCTATCTCTTTGTGAATTCACTGGAAATAAAGAATTTAAAAAAAAAATAACTATATATTAAGAAAAAGTCTGAAGGCAGGAAGCTAGCACAGACAAAGACAAAAAGGTGTAAGCTTCAAGAGAGAACCTGAGAGACCAGCCGCACGGATCTCCTAGGAGTGACCTGGTTAGATACAGGTGTTGCACTTCTCATAATCTTTGTTTTAGGTTCATCACAAGAATTCTGATCCTCTCCATCTATATGGGATCTCTTTCTCAGAATTTCATTAGATTCCACACCATCAAGCCCAACAAAAGTCTCTTCCAATGAGTCATGTTGACAGCATCTGGAAGAAGCAAAATGTGTGTTTAGATAGATTACCCTATAAAACTACACAGTAATATATGGAGTATCAATTACAAGAGGAATTACTCTGAAAGCTCTCTCCCACTGTCAACTTTGTTCATTTCCTGCAAAAGACAGAAGTTACAGATCTGCAGTTTCATAAACTATAATTAGCAGTACATATCATCCTCAAAAGTAATCTAGAAGTCATTAGATAGCAGTTCCGCAAATGGCCCATGAGCTCATGACTGCCATGCACTATATTTTGTTTCTCAAGTGTCAAACTTTCCAAAACTACTTGATAGTCGAAGACAAACAAGAACTATCAAGCAGCATCTGAACATTGATGACCCTAGGGGCGAGATCAAAGTTTTATCTGAAGCTCTCATCCAACAAGTGCATTTTTTTTTAAGTAGAAACAACTGGATGTATCTTTAAAACTTTGTTTAATTGATAGCAAAACTATATCCATTTTAGATGTCAGAGAATAGAGATGAATAGTGACATTGCATAATGTAATGGAATGCACTTTTCTTGGTCATCTTGATAGTCAAAAGAATAAATAAAACTATTAGATATGCAAGCATAGAAAAATATGTTATTATGTCTATATGAATGTTTTAACAAATAACAATATTTTGGAGTATAACACATCATTATGTTTATATGCATATTTAATGATTAACAAGGATTTGGAACAATAGAACACAGCATTATTCTGTACAAGCACATGGTATGATAGAAATGTATAGCATAAGGACATCCATTATACATGGCAAAAGGATGGTATTTAGTCCAGTTCTAGCAGCATTTTTCTGGTGGTATAGGGACTAGTCTAATACCTGTTCTTCAGGAAATGAAGGGAAACATCTCCTGTAGGTCTCATGACTGGACACAGTTGCATTGGCTAATTCATCTTGTTCTGCATCTGTATCAACCAAAGCCACAGGTTTTACATATTCACAAGGTAGAAGTGATGCATTGTTGCTGCAAATCTCAACTTCTGAAGATGGCATCTTCACACAACCACCTCCTGGAGAGCTAATGGTGCAAGAATGCTCACAAGCATCTGGAAGGAATGAATTCTCACAAATTTCAATAGGGAGCTTTCTACCTTGATGCACCAATGTGTTGAGATTTATTGAACCATCTGCCATATTTACAACAGAACCAACTGCCAACTGCTTCTGAGGAGAATTGACAACTGAATCCGAAGTTATCTTAAAAATATCTTTGCTACAGGATTCAGTATGAGAAACAATCTGGTGCGATGCAGCAGACTGTGGTATGGATAAGTTATTAAGTCCGTCCTTTTCCTCAAAATTCTCTACCACACCTATGATTTTGTTACATTGTCCTATTGATGATAGGAAAGATCTTTCGACCTTATCAGGATGATCAGAAGGCAGATGAGTATTCTCACTGATGATGGGGTTTCTAGCTGACTCTTTCAGTATGTGGTCATTGTTGCTTTGGCAAACATCTGAATTCCATTGTAAAGGATTTTTCACCTGTTCATTGTTCCCTACAAAACAGCCAATCTCCTGGTCGAAACTCCTATTATTCTTTTCACCCAAGGTGGGGTTTCTGGCTGACTCTTTCAGTACATTGCCTTTATTGCTTTGGCAAACTTCTAAATTCTGTTGTAAAGGATTCTTCACCTGTTCATTGCTCTCAGCAGAGCAGCCAATTTCCCGGTGGAAACTCCTGTGATTCTTACTTTGTATGTTATCAGGTAGAGAAATTTCACTTGTCAATTTCTTAATCCAGTCTGATGGGTTAAAATTTAAATCAACACAAAGGTTAATTCCATTTTCTGAACTAACATAAAACTCAAATTCAGGCAGCCGAGTAGCTCTAGAAGGTCTCAAGGGCACACTCTCTTTAGGACATCCACCATCATTTATGTCTGTATCAACAGTACGGGGCTTTTCTTCTAACTTACAATCTCTTCCAATACCCAAATTGTTCTCTCCGGAGGTGAGTGTTGGGTTCTCCTTGTCGTTGAGATTAACTCCGTCAGATTGAGGAACAAGCAGAGGTTGCATTGGTCCACAAATTGTTTCCTGTATTGACATTGAAACTTTTTTATGAGCTTTGTGGTCTGAATGCAGAACAGAGATAAATGGACATAAGCAAAAGCAAACCTTGTCATAAGCTGTCTCCCCCATGCTGTGGAATTTCTTAGTTGGAGAACAACTCCGTCCAATATGCTCATCTGCGGTAGAAGAGATGGATCCATAGCAAGCAGCAAAAGCATACAATCATTGTCCGCGAATTTCTTAGATCATGAATAGGGTTAAGACGCACTTCAGACTTTTGGAAACTTTAATTGATAATGACGCATACCTCTTCTGGTATCCCCTGTGGAATCTAGCGGTGCTCCAGACTGCAGAAGTGGTACCAAAGATGTAGGACCTGAAACCTCCTGAACTGCACCTAATCCTCCATCTAAAGACATTGGGCTTGAGCTTTTCTTCTGCAGATTTGTCAAAAATTATCAATGCTAGTCGATATGTACACACACCAAAATCATTTATCAAAATGACTAATTTTATGGCAAAGAAAGATCAACAGAAAAAAAAAGAAACCCTACATTCATAATGGCAGAAGATTAAAGACAAGCATGACAATTCTAAAAGAAAATTATTACACGGTAATTTAGGTGGTTACAGGTGGTACTGCATAGGTAGCCTACTCTCTTATAGTATCTGCTATGAAGTCCCAAAAAAAATTATAGATGATAGGGACACCTAAAATAGTTTCCTTATACCAGATGAATAACGAAAAGCATATGACTTCGTTTCAACAATAGCAATTCAACAGCCGATAACAAGACTGTGGAACAAAACAAGCATATAGAATTTCAACAGACATTAACTAAAGCTCATTAAAAAACTGTTCATGTGAATTCATCTAAGTTCAGGCCTGCATTTGGGCTCAGTAAATAACAACAATTAGTGAAATGCTACGAGAGAAAAAAAAAAGAGTTAATAGAAATTTCTTCTAAGAAGCTTGTAAAGAAGAAAGAAACTTCTCCTAAGAAAGGTTACACAAACAGAATTTTTTCCATTCTATATGAGTTAATGTACTTTAAAACTGGTACCACTAGCCAGAGCAGATTGACCCAATTTTACTCCAAACAGTATGTAAGAGATTGAACTGTCCTTCCCAAATATATGCACAGTAGAAAAACAAGCCCTTAAATGAATGCAGGGAGATGCAAGAAGAATTCTAGAAGCAATCTTACACTTCAAGACTTGCTATATCTTATATAATCAATGGAAGATGACTTCCATATCCTCAGGGAGAGGCACTTAGGGAGACATCTGTAGGAAAAAGACATAGATGGCAGCAAATGATTGAGTTCGGTAGTTCTTCATATAAAATTATTAACTTTAGGAGGAATGTTTTTATCCGGCGCTAACAATTTCATAACTATCTCTGTAATTCCATAATTTTTCGATTTAGGCTCCTACTTATTATCTGAATGTACCAAAATAGATGTATGATTTAATGAGTCTACTACAAAATATTTACTCATGGGCGGGTCAAGTTCTGGTAACAATGTGCAGACAATGAAGTTCAAGTATCTCCACTACCAGTGTTTTGAAATCATGTAAGATTCACCTTTTCCAAAATCATTTGCCAATCTATTTTTCATAGCGTTGTTTCTGCCTTTTATACATACAGTTTGTAGATATACAAAGAAATAGAAACTTATTTCAAAACCGTGCTACTCAAAAAATTCTACCAGAAAGAGACAGCTACTCTCTTCATAAATGCAGCAAAGCAATAAAGATTCCATGTCTGATAAGGGAGGTGAAGCAGTCTTTTCATCAGAAGCCAACAAAGAAAATGGATGTACTATTCCTAAAAAGATTTATATGGTCATATAGTTAAGTTGACATCAGAAAGAAAAACCACATAAATTTTCACAATTCTTCTATAATTTCTCTTAAATAAACTTTTATGGGCTGTTTACTTAATCAAATCATTGTACCTGTTTGGCGATCAATAACAACATTTCATATGCTTAATTCTTTGGAAAAAGTAGTTGAATACTTGATGGGAGGAAAATATCAGAGGACTGAAAATAATAGACAAAAGAAACAATTGCAAAAAGACAAGAGTGAGAATGGAACATTGCAAATTCCAATTCCATATTTTTCTCCATTTTCTTTTCTGTTCAAGTTTTCGTTCTCTGGACCAAGCACATGGGTAAAAACTGCCTCCCTTTCCTCTACTTCCAGTTTTCTTCCCTTCCACGTTGGTTGGTCCAATTTTTATTTTACTTTTTAAGTACCTATTCCAAAGATATATCTACATCAGAGACCCATATCTAATTCCAATTAACATAGGATTTCATGTTTCTGTCCTTTTACTTTTTCCATAACATTTTGAAATATTGAAGTATAATAGTCTTTCAGGAAAAAACATCTAAAAGTAATAAATTCGTTTGCGATGGTAGGTCTATCCCATGACTCTTAATATGATGACACATGTACAATTACAATGAATGTATTTGAGTAAAACTGTCTTGCACTCAAACAAACAGAAAATGAAGAAAGGGGAGGGAGTATACAATAGCTGATGCATAAAAGAACATCAGGTAGACAGGTTATAATCAACAAGGCGATATGTTTGCCACGTCTTAAGTTTGAAGTTTAAACAGGATCAAGAGATTATAATCCCCCAATCACAATTACAAATTGTCTCAATAGTTCTTATTAGTGCAATAATCAAAAGTTGAACATGAGCACCCAGTAGTTGACATGCAGAACCAAAAGAATATCGGATGGACAGATCATAATAAAAAAGGTAATGTATCCCAAACAGAAAGATAATTATCTTGACGAAAAAAAAAAAAAAAGCAGTCATGTGAAAAATACACATACTGCTCCAGTTTAGGTTGTCATGGCTTTATGTGAAACCACATATTCAGTGCAATGAACATCATCCGATTGCACCAGTTGTGAACGATTCTGCCCAATGCACCATGAAGTTCAAACAAAAAATTTAAATGAATCAAGGCTAAGAAAAACAAGAATGGTGTCTTAATCAGTGCAAACTTGATGTCAAAGGAAGAACTACAAGGTGCCAAGACAAAAAGCTTTGTTGGAAACACGTGGAAATTATGTCATCTTATCTAAATGTTTTTAATGAATTAGGACTCAAGATGCAGCATTGGGGTCCTATTAAGAACGAAAACATGCAGAAATAGCATACTTCTTTTAAAATCCTTCTAGATATATAACATTAGCTTGCAAAACTGTTTTTCTAACTGCCATAAAGAGCAAGATATTTCAAGTACTAAAAAATACACAGAAGAGTAAAATTATCCACCATCTTCGTCATGAGATCTTTTACAGTATCTACTATTGAACTTCCAATAATTGCCACATTTCAGTTTGTCCTACAAAGAAGCTAATTTATGAAGTTACTAACTAAACATGGTACAAATTTATATGTCAAAAAAGCGAATCAAATTATTGAAGATCATTTATGTGACGAGTGATAATGAAAAGAAATCATCATAATTTGCATTAATTATGCTAAATCTCCACCAACTTGCTCAGAAAGTTACCTCATAAAAAGATTTCAAGGATATAGCCATGTCAGTACTTGACCTATTAGCAGGTAAACCATATTTCTTGCACAAATTTTGGAGCTCTTTCCGTGGGAAGTTGAGGAAGAAATCAATACCATCTTTATTCACCATCTTCCTCAACCAATCAAATATAAGAACAATTTCCTGAATTTTAAGAAAACCATTATACTTGCTTCTGAGACGCAAGGAATAAAACACTTGTACAACCAGGTTAAGAACGCAAGAAGAGGAAAGACAGGGTAGGGCCGTGTTAATGTTTTAAATGACCCATTAAACATCATTTTGCAAAAATCCTATGATTCCTTTGTTTCTATATCCGGGAGAAAAAGTGAATTTAGTGATGCTACCAGAATTAAACAGAATATAAATCAAAGTTCAAACTCAACCCTAGTAGAACAAGTACATCATGTTTTTTCATTCTTTACTAACTTACCAAGGAAACACAAGCAAGGGAAATTGGCTAGAACAATCAACTTTCAGTTTGGTAGCTGAGAGAGAAAACACAACAAAGAGAACGCGAGACTTCGCAAGTCATATGTGTTTCTTCTGAATATTAAATCAAAACTGTCAACCTAAGAACATTATTCCCGCCATGTATCTAAGCATTCCTACCTGCTAAGCGCCAAGAAAACCAAAAAGAAAATACGAATTCGAAACTCAAGTTTGTTTTCCTAGCATTAAAATACTTTCTCTTCGATAATGAAAACAAAACATGTAAAATTCACAGACCTTCTCGGCAAACCTTTCTGTCAAACACAACTTGAAGGAAAAGAATGAGAAAAAACAAAATAAAACAAAAATTCGAACCTCTATCTCCATTTCGTTTGTCTCTTTTACATTTAATTCTTCAGGCTGATTTCCTCCACTTAACAGTTAAAACAGTTCTCTGTTTTACTTCAAATCTAAAAAAACCACAACAAACATCCAAATAGAAGTCTCGGATTCCATTTTATTTCACTACATTTCCGAATAACGAAACAAAACAAATTCATTTGATTATTTCATTTTTTCTGGTTTTGTATCGTGTTGTTTTGAGTTCCATCTCCAAAAAAAATACAGAACAAGAGAACAAGAATTGCAAGATAGATATAGCAGCCGCTACCTGATCGCGAAATTTCTGTAAAAGCTGCAGAGAAAGCGGGAGAAAACGCAAGAAAGCTTTCCACCCCCCAGTAGAACGACAATAGCGAGGGAGAACCGGCTACAGGGAGCAAACGGACCTTGAAATCTAAAATACAAACGAGATGGAAGATTTAAGAAGTAACTGATGGCGATTTCGTAAATAATTGGAATAACAGTGGCTCTTGTGGAAAGTGGGTAAGAATAATCTGCATGATCTAAGAAATAACAGGGATTGGTCAATTACAGAAGATAAATACAACGAACCGTGGACGTAATTTATACCAATAAGATTTCAAATCCTTGGAAATTAGTGTTGATTTCCTAGATTCGCATGTACCTGATTATATCCGAGTTGGACTAAATGCTTACGTCATTAATCATATTTTTCCGAAAATAATTCTTTTAAATTTTTTTTCAATTTTTCCCTCTTCATTGGAAACATGTTACTTCTTTTTTTATTCTCCAAATATTTTAAATTTTAAAATTGGTTCTTAACGTTATTAGAATTCAAATAGTTAATTCTTTTGACCCCAATTTTAAAAACGTAAATCACAAATATTTAACCATTCATATTATATATATTATATGGTAACAAAATTATTTTAATTAAATAAAATCCTGATTTATAAATTAAAGATATACATATATTTTTCTTTACCTAAATGAGAAATTTATTGGTAATATTTTACCTCATTTGCGATATTCCATACCTTTCCCTCCTTGATAATTAATGCTAGTTTGATTTTAGATTATGTGTAATGACTGCCTTTCAATTAATTACCATATTTATTTATTAGATTCACTTTATTTAAGATATAAATAAATAATATTTAAAATTTTACTAATTTTGTTTTTTATAAGTGAATTTTAATACAATAGTTATTTTTAAATTTTTTAATGTTAAAAATTTTAATTCAACTATTACTTAATGTAAAGTCACTATTTATTACATTGTACTTAAAATTATTTTAATAATTATTTATAATTTATTTCATGTTAAAACTTTAGTTTTAACTATTATTAGAAAAAAAAAACTAAATTTTTTGTTATTAAAAAAATAACAATTAAATAAAAGCATTAATTAAAATTATTTATTACATTGTACTTAAATTTATTTTAATAATTATTTATAATTTATTTCATGTTAAAACTTTAGTTTTAACTATTATTCAAAAAAAAAACTAAATTTTTTGTTATTAAAAAAATAACAATTAAATAAAAGCATTAATTACATTAAACAAGAGTTTTCACTAATTTTAATTAACTCATTTAAAATAAAAATTTTACAACGACTAAATTCTCTTAGTTCGATATTCACAATATATTATAAATTCGATTTAATATTTTTTGCTATTAAAAAGAATCTAAAGTTAATAACATAAAACAAGAGTTACCCAGGATGACTAAATTCTCTTTATTCATTAAAAATTCGATTTAATATTTTTATTTATTAAACATATAAAGTAACCCATTTTGCAAAATATTTTGTGTACAAAGACAAAATAAAACCGAATATACTTAGTATTAACATATTGGATGCTATTATAAGCAACCATTAAACAAGAGAATTGCAAAGTTGTGGAGAATCATATGTTATTCTTCTATATTGTAAAAGTTCATAACTAAAAAAAATATATTTATTATCTAAATGCATAAGCGAACAATAAAATTATAGTTTATATTTTTTATACAGTAAATTAAAATACCCAAAAAAGATACGGGAATGTTCATTTTACATTGATTCATAAAGAAAGACAAACGATAATTAAAATAAATAAATAGATATCATAAGGGGTTAACCTCTACTAGTACTTAAATGAAGTACGAGAGGTAAACTACTCATAACACTTTTGTTGATAGGGATATGCATTTTGGTATTTTTAATATAAAATTGTTAATAAAATGGTGAGATACACTAGCATAGTAAGAATATTATAATAATTACTGATACAAAAAATTAAATATTGATAAAAGTAACAAAATTACTAATGGAACCATTAATTTAAGTAAATACATTTAACTTTAAAACGTTTTATTCAAGATTTACCATTACGTGTTTTCTCAAAGTCAACATATGAAAATAAGTAACCAAATGATATTTTAATTTCATGTATAAGATCAGTAATTATCTCTTTTAACCTATTTTTAGGACCCCTGGAGGATTGCTCGCGTGGCTTCCCGTGTTGTGTCGATGTTAGCAGGGTTGCCACATGGCGTGTTCTGGTTCGCAGGAATTGCTAATTGGATTGTCCTACGTGGTCAAACTTTCTCTTTTTGCGTTTTAACACCATATTTTTAAATTTTCTTTTAAAAACACCAATCGAATTCAAAAATTTAGTAATTTTTTTTAAAATTATTTTCAATTCCGCCCATAATCTATTTTTTGTCAAAATTTTAATAAAATTAAATTTAAAATAAATCAATTTAATTATTTATATAAATTTTTTATAATTAAAACAAAAATCTCTGGTCGATTTTCAAACACGGATATTACATATATAATTTTGATTTTTACTATATTTTAATGTGAATTAAATTAAATATAATTATAGATAATATTTTAATATAGTTCAAAAAAATCATTAATAACAAATATTCAATATGAATGAAAATTACATAATTAAATTATTTAATGCAATATTTGTTATATTATATTGTCCGCAATTATATATAATTTAGTAAATTAATAAATTAATTTTTTCAATAAATTAATTTAGTTTAAATGAATCAAAAGAGTTTAATTTATTTATATTTAAATTTTTACTATTAATGATATAAATCTCTTTAGATTTGATTAAAATCTATTTAATTTTGTATATAAATATGTCGCGTAATAATTTAGTGTCAAAATTTATCAAATTTTCATTGACACTTCTTAATTATATATATATTTTTTATCTTTTTATTTATTTATAAATTTATACAATAAAATAATGATAAAATATATAATTTAATAAAATACATAATTATATTATTATATCAATTCAAATAAAAATAGTTGTCATTACTATATATTAATATACCGGACGGGATATTGAGGGATGGTACTTTTAGTGTTCATACCGGATAAGGTATAAGGATGGCCGGTTACTTAACAAGTTTTGTTATGGGTTCACGCGTAGTATGACATCCATATGGACTCCCAAAAATACTAGTAAGCAAATAAAAAATGAAAGTTGTTGTTTTGGCTAATTGAATATGAGATTATGATGTTATTTGCATTATTGTCTCTATAGGTTTACTTTGAAAATCTTGCTATAGTAAGTATGCAATAAATAATTTTATTTATGATAAATGAATTTACTAAATTTAAGAGCTCCATTAGTTGTTTTTATTATTTTTATCAACATTTATTTATATATCGGTGAATAATGCGATATTCTTACTGAGCTAGTGTAGCTCACCATATCCTTAAGTATTTCAGATCAAGATGACCAAAATCCAAATCCCGATCAACAAGGGGGTTGTAAATAATTTACCACCCGGACTCCCTTCAAAAACTAGTGAAGGTCGTCTTAGGATACCTAATTATTTACTTTTCATTAATTTTTTTATTTTTTGCTTGTTCTTTCAGAATGATCATTCTCGTAACCCTATTAGGTATTTAAAACTATTGTAAAATGAATGTAAACCCTAACTCTATTATTCTGCTTTCGTATTCAATTTATGATTTTATTTCATTTCAAGGTATAGGCTGTCACACAAAAACTCAAAATCAATGTTAAAAATTCTTTCCAGCCAATTTTGAAGTTCCAGCACGGCGGTGATTTGCCTCGGCTTGGCCGTTTTCAGTCGGTTTTGGCCGATTTCGATCGCTTTTATACATATTCATGCAAAAAAATACGTTAAGGAATATCAGTTGGTCCAAAAAATTAGAAAACGAAAACCTATAAGTGGTGGAGTTTTTCGAGTGCGGCAGCTCCACCAGCTCACCTTCGCGGCTGGTCTTTTTTCTTTGGTCAACATGTAAAAAATAGAACGGTGGACACAACGGTGGAAAAATCGCACGAAACAGGAAATAGAAAATGACCCATTAGAGAAGGTTACGAATTTTGCCTGCGACAGCTCTGCCGGGCTTTGCCCGCATTTTAAGGCTCACACGCTGTTTGTTTTACTCCCACAGAGGTGCTTAAAATCGAATTCCAAGCAAGTATGAGAATTTTTACCTTTTTGACGGTCGGATGTGGCTCCGGTGCAGCAATTGGTGGTAGTCGACTCCCCTCTTCGGCAGGAGGTTGGAAGTTAGAGTTCGAGTTCAGTGTGATATTTTGTGTAATATATCACACTGAACTCGCCGGATAAGACAACCCAGCCGCCAAGGAGCCGACCGCCGCCACCCGCTGCTGCACCGGAACCCTTTCTGACACTAAAAAATGTACAAAAATTTTTTTTTGGACGAAATTCAATTTTAAATCAATCCATGGCCAAATCGGAGTGAAAGAACCGGCCAATTGGTCGAAAAACACCAACGAAGCCAAGCAGCACCACTGCGAAAAATTTCACAAACTGCATCCGATGAGGCCCTTCCCGATTCCCGTTTCGCGTAATTTTTCTACCTTTGTGATCACTGTTTTCTTCTTTACAGGTTGACTGAAGCGAAACACACAACTGCAACGTGAGCCGGAGGAGCTGCCGCACCGGAGAGCCTCGCTGCCGGTGAGTTTTGGTTTTTCGTATTTTTTCGGCCCATCGAGGCCCTTTAGCGTGTATGCTCGCAGGAATCAAAGCAAAATCAGCCGAACCGAGGCAGACTGTCGCCGTGCCAGATTTTCAAAATTGGGCGAGCGGACCCTGTGACTGATTTTTGGTTTATTTGGAACATTTATAGGTACTATAAGCGCGTTTCAGTTCTCGGAGAAAAATTCATGAAACCTAGGAACTGCCCGTAGGTGCAGTAAACCGTTTAGTTTTCAGCGTCAAATCGAATAAGGATCCCTCACCCTATTCCCTATCATAGAATTAAAGTCTAAATAAATAATAATGTAGTATTTTGTGCAATTTTAGTAAATATGCATAATTAATTACTGATTGCTAATAGAGTCTGAACTAGAAATTGTTATATGTTAATCTCTGTCGATGTACTTTACAGTCTAAAAGCATGATAATGTCTTATCGATTTATTTTATGGTTTGAATGCATGAATAACAGCCTTACGTGACTACTGTTTGATTTGGGGTTTGAGACATGATTTTATTATCTAATGCATGTTTATTTACTTATGTAATTATGTTTAATTTGGAAATAGAGACTAAAGGAAAGCGAGAAAGTGGTGTGATTAAGTAAACAGATGGAACGGCAGCCTTACCAGATATCTTGAGAGATGGTGGACGGACTGGGTATATAGAGAACCCTACTGTGAATATTGTCTCATACCGGACAGGGTGTGAGGACGACCCGCTTCACCCTAATACCAAATGGGGTATCGAGGTTTAATGTCTTGGCGCTCATACCGAACGGAGTATAAGGATGACCCTGTAATTGAGATTGTTAATGGAAAGGGTTCACGTGTAGATGAGACATCCCTATGAACCCCTATGGATACCAGTAGGTTGGTGAAATGAGAAACGGTTATGATTTAGTTTATTGTTAATGGATATGAATCTATGATATGTTTTACGTTGCTAATTGTTCATTAAGTTATGATCTGTATGATATTATTGTCTCTATAAATTATTTTCATAAATTTCACAACGATAAATAATTTTATGATTGATAAACGAATTTGCTAAATTTAATACTCCATTAGTTGTTTTAATTTTATAATAATATTTACTTATGTATCGGTGATATAGTGTGATATCCTTATTGGGTTAGTATAACTCACTATTTATTTAACCATTTCAGATCAATAGAACCTGGTTCCAGAGCCTGATCCGCAAGAAGATTGAGAGTAGATAATAAATACTTTCTATTTTTTATTGTATTTCTTATTTCTCGTATTTCTTTCAGATAGTTCATTTCGTAATGTTGTTCAGTACTTTTAAATTATTGTGTAAGGGATATAAATCTTAACATTTTATTTCGCTTCCGCACTTAAATTATTATATATGGGGTCGCTTCTGGGTCGTTCGATTGTGGGGCATGCGGATTGCCAGCGTGGCCTCCCGCGTGGCATCGGGTCAGCGTGTCTCGCCATGCGGCGCACTCCGATTCGTCGAGACTACTGACTGGGCGGTCTTAGGTGATCAAATTTTTTTTATTTGCATTCTGACATTCAATTTTTGATTTTTTTTTTCAAAAATACTATTCGAACCTAAATTTTCACAAATTTTTTAAAAATTATTTTTAATTTTATTCGTAACTTATTTTTTTTTTCATAATTTCACATTAAATTAAAATTTATTAATTTTAAAAATAAATTCTTATACATTTTTAAAATTTTAAAATTAATTTCGGGCCAAATTCTAGTCTCAATTATTACATTATTTGTATTTAAAAATAATAATTGTTCATAAAAAATCTTATAATTTTTCAAAAAATATTAATGAATCTAATTATAAGTAGGACTAAAACAAAAAAAAAAACTCTTAAAAATTATTTTATTTTTTATTTTTTCGATGAAATTTATTTTTTGTTATTTAAAAATTCTAATAACTACTTCTAGAAACACGTAATAATATTAAAAAATTAAAAAATAAACACACTGTTTTTTTAGTGTCGCGGGATTTTTCTTTCCTGGTTCCGTTTTCCCTCCTTTTACTTTCAACTGAGCTACCAGAAGCTCCACCCCGCGTCCATTCCATTATCATCATCTACCAGTAGCTTTTCCTCATGTTTTTTTCAACCAAGCCGTCTCAGTTGCCATAAATCTTCGACTCCAACCACTGATCAATTTTGAACCCTATTTCACTCGATTTCTTCAACCTGGCTTGTATTTTTCACGACTGGAAGAAAAATTGGGAGAGCAGCTGTTGATCGCTTTCAAATCCCTAATTCGCTCGAAGAAGTACTTTATTTTTCTGTCGTGTTTTGTTTTTTCATTTTATCCTTGTTATCCATTCTTATTTTCTGCATAGTGTTGTTTTTCAATGGTTGCTTATATTAGGCGCTTCATGTTACCATTGTCTGGCCGCATCAACTCATAACTAAAAGGTAAGTCATGCTTCTTACTTCTTCTATTTCTTGTTGATTTTGCTGTGGTAAATTAAGTTTTTGTTTGAGTTTGTTTTTAATTATAATTCACAAAATAAGATCGAAAATAAAATATAAATATAATAGAAATTTGAGCGAAACTAAATTATTTTCGTGATTTTTTTATTGACAAAGGAGAATACAAAATTATGTTTGTTGAATTAAAGATACGAATGAAGTGAGTTGATTATACATAATTTGTGCAATATCTAAACAGTAGGATGAGAATAAATAGATTTGAACCAAAATCAATGTTAGAGTTAGTCTCTACAAGAATGTATGGGTTTTAGATTCCATGTTGATGGATCTTCATATGAGTAAGTGTTGAACCTACTGTTTATGGCTATTTGCTTCTTCTTCTACAAGCTAGAAGAAGTTTTTTTTTTCTTTGTTTCTTTTTTTTTTTTTTAATGGAACTGTTGGTTCATTTAGCTACCCTGCTTTTGCTCCTGTTTGTATTTCTACACTTTGGGGCGGTTGGTATTGTTTCAGGTCCCTATTGCGCAGGCAATTACTAGTGAAGTAGGTAGATGTAATTGTATTGTTCTTAAGTAACCATTGCTAGGAGGGTTGGATGGTGGTACTTGATTCGGTTTCTAGTTTTTATGTGATTTCTCTGTCATAATGCATTTATGAGCCAGATCTAGACTATTCTTCAACAGCTTTTCTTCTTTTAGTTCTTAAATTAGTATTTGTTTCCCACATTGTTAAAAGCTCCCAACAGGTTATTGGATTAGCTATATAAAGGTCATAAGTAAGGTTTTAGTAGTTCATAAGTCAGCCAAAATGATAATTATACAAGTTAATGACAAAAGAATCAAATGCTTGGCCTAACATGTTTCACTCCCCGAAAATTGCCACAATCAACTCTGTAGCATTTAATATATATATATATATATATATATATATATAGTTGTTCAAAAAATACACTTAACTTACCAGTTCTTAAAATAACTTTCTTGCTTCATAATAATTTCAAGCATGCTGTCACCCTCCCTCTTCATTTCCTCATCCGAGTTCAAGGACCTTTTCTTGGTTTCCTTGGAAGCACACAAGGGTTCCTATGATACGGGCTATTTAATTCAAGAAACATAACCAGTGTGATCTGTTACATGACTGATCATATAAGCTCTCTGAATAATCAAAGAACCATCTGTTCTTCCTTCCGTTTATGCACTTTTTATCCAAATAATTTCCTAGGGTATTGCAGCATGCCAGTTTTTCATATCATAAATTTCAATATTTAATTTCCTGGAATATTACTGAATAAAATATTGCTCTCTCTTTTAATTTTGTTGATGTTTAGGCGATTCAGTGTTGTTCTCCTTTGAAAATCTTTTTTTTTTTTTTTCACTAGTGATTTTTAAAGAATAATATTGTGTAGTGACTCAGTGTTGATGTTGCACAATCCGCTTAGTTTGTTATTTTAGTTAGCATGCCAAATACCTGTGTTTATATCACCCAGCATGTATAAGATCTTGTCATTGCGTAATACTGTATCGCATGAACTGAGCCAAAACAAAGAAGGTAAGAAATTAAGCCGCTCTTCTAAAAAAATTGAAAATATTATTGAAGTTTCACCGAGAACATAATAATCGTTCCTATTCAACCTAGTCGGCAAATTTGATAGTATGTGTGTGTGTATATTAATATCTGTTTTATGAAGTTTGTGAAAAAAAAAAAAAGTTATCACAGTTCATATTAGCTACCAAAAATGTTATCATCACCACCTTTTACCTAGTTCTTGAAGAATGAGGGGGCCATTTGGGATTCTCTTGAAGCCACTTTGACGAGTAGGAAATAGGCAGTAGAATTATGACATTTAGGCTTAAATTTAATATGTTTAAATTTTTTAACTTAATACTTTTTTTAAAAAAGTTTATGAATTTAAATTAAATTATATTTCCTAATGTGTTTTTATTTGAATATTGTTTGAGATGTTATGATTATTATTTGTTTGTGTCATAATTAATGAATGTATGCATTCTTAACTCAAAAAAAAAAAAAAAATTTGATTCTTGTTACATGAACTTTTAATTTCTACATTTATTTTATTTTTGAAATAAACTTCTACGTGTTTTTATATGCAACTTAAACTTATATGTTGTTACTTTTCCTGTTTGCTCATCTTAACTAAATTAATGAGTATTCTTTTGGATTTATAGTTTATTTCTTATATTTTCTAGTTCAAGTTTTTAGATTTTAACCAATTTATGCATCTAAGTTTTATATTAATTGCAATTATTTTTACCATTATAGGTCCTCATTCAAAATTTTTATAGGGTTAAAACTTCTATAGGGATTTTTTTTTTTTTAATTTGTGTAGTTCATTCATGTCTTCCAGAATTATTTGTTAAATATTGTTACTTTTAATTACCTTATATGTTTTAACCAGAAAAAAATAAATTAGTTCAAGAAATAAAATTAGAATTTATTTAGAAAACAAATTAAAACTATTTTTAAGTATATCTTAAATATTTGTATGTATATATGGACATATATGTATATATGGAATTGTTAGGGTTTAGAAGAAAATAACTCTCTACTGTGCATGTGTAACACCCAAATTTATTTTAATATAATTTGAACTAAATTGTAGATACGATTTTTGTAATTTTTTTAATTTTAATTTAATGAAAAAATAAAGTAAAATTGATGTAGAATTAAATTAAAAATAATTTTAAAAAAAATGAGTTAAAATTTGAGTTTTCAGAGTATTTTTTAAAGAAAAATTGAAAATAGGAGGCAAAACGTGATTTTGAAAAGTTTTGTCACGTCAGAACCTAGGTTAGCAGTCCTGACCAATCAGGATGCGCCAAGTGGTAGAGACGTTGACGCAGGAGGCCACGCAAGGGAGGGCTACATGGGCGATCTGTGTGCTTGCGATCGAATGATTGAAGTTCGTTTCCGCGCGCACGAACGACCTGGATGCGCTCCCTCCCAAACGCGATCAAACAGCCAGATTCAAATGCGATCGGATGGTTTAGAGTGAATCGCGATGGACGGTCCAAATTAGATCGCGATGAACGGTGCAGATTTATTTCCTATTTAATCGCGATCGGACGATCCAGATCAAACGCGATGAGCAGTCCAGATCAAAAG